TTTTCTGCCAAGCACTTAATATAAGGGCGAAAAGCCGACCACTCGTATAGGAGCACTCGTATAGGAGTGAAAAAAGGCTGCTCTACCCGCCAAGCCTACTACTTAGCAACTTCAGACTAAACCCGCCAATCAAGCCTACAAGAGAATTAGCAGCCCTAGGTGGTGTTGCTCGAAAGTGGCAGATATATAAGTGGCACAGGACTCCTAAAGATAAGAAAGCAAGCGTATACTAGATGCGGGCCAAGGAACTACTACTGTGTAGCGGCAGCAGTTCGGGGAGTTCCATTCCTCGGATTGATTTATTGATTGATTTCCTTCCCTATCTATCCTCTGGACTAGAGCATCTCTTCTACCTATGGAAACTGGCAACTCGCAGACAGTAATATACGTAAGGGCAAGAATGCAACTGGGGCATCCACTCGGAGAATTAATACCTTAAGTACTTGATATCATAGAGTTGATACCTTTACTACTTGCCTTGCCCCTATCCCTCTGATCTTGCTCTTTCAACTAACCACTCCTTTGACTTTTGTCTGAAACCACATCTATTATTATGATATATTCATTATTGGAATTGACACCCGCACCGCTCGTCGTCAACAACTTGAACTTTCCTTTCCACTCTATCGACCCAGTAGTTCCTTGTCAGGCGAGAGATAGATCAAATGAATTCTTTAACGAAACACATGGGTCCCCGAACACAGGACTCAAAAGAAGGAGTGCAATTCTGTAACTGCTGATTGGTAGGCTTACTAGCACTGCTTGAAGAAATTCTAATAAGGCACTGCTGAGGTCAATTCTGATCTTAGTGTTAGATGCAACAGCCAAGCCCCTACTAGACTTAACCAGGGCAGCTAGGGCCCAGCTACTTATAAAACTTCTCTTCTCTTCTATTCCCGATTCTTAAGCACTAACTGACTTATATAAGAGAACAGATGAAGCTATAGATATGAAACAAGGTATTTAACAATCACCAGAACAGGAACTGGGCATTCAACGTCAACAAACAAGGATTCAACTCTTAAGGGGATCTACTGCCTAAACTCTCAACTACTGATTTCACTCCGTAGTATAACCCATGTGTGAAGCAATTAGTCAATAGATAACTTGTAGTCAATTAAGCAAGTAGTAGAACCTATGCTGCCGAATCTCTATCTTTTTCATATATATCAGGAATGAAAGGTTGACTTGTGTGAAGCAATGAGTCAAAACCTAATTGGATCTTTCGTAAGATCAACTGGTGCCTGGTAAGCGTGCCTAACCTTTGGGGGGAGAGCTGCCCTTATATTAAGTCGTCAGTCGATTCATAAAGGGGAGTTTCTTTTGGTGCTTCTGAAAAGAGAGTGTGTCTAGCTATTAGGAGTGGATAACCCCCACTCGGCAGCATCAGATCTTATCTCAACCCTGCAAATTCCATTCTTTCCCACGCCAACTCATTCTCTTAGTCTTTTCACTCTGGCTTGGCTCTATCTCCCAGCTACTGCTTCCATTCCTTTACTTACTAGCTGCCCCCTGGCTTGAAGCTTATACCCACTAGTTCCGCTCTTTGGCTACTTTGTTTCATTCTATTACTTTTTGGAGTTGTTTCTGTATTTACTATTAAATAGTTTCATTCTGACTTGTAAGTATAGGCACCCCCTACTGGCACACAACAAACCCATTGATTGAAACCAAACCCTAGTATGGCACACAACACACATGCGAGACACAAACACATCGAGTAGAGTGGGCCAGTAACTCAGTCTTAGAGCGACCATGAACTCAGTCAATACTAATAGGGGTACAGAGAATAGGGATGTTATTTTGTACTGAGAATAGGGATGTTATTGGACTTCACACCCGAACTAACTCTCCCTCTCGCCTACCTAGTGCTTTTAGCTGACTACCTACTTATAACCTGTCTGCCTGGTCTCTTCTGACTCTGCTCCTATAACTGCATTCAGATTGCCAGGTCACATCCTCCTATATAAGAACAGATAGAATTTATATAGCGCCAAGTAACTGGGCAAGAGAACCAGCTAAGTGTTTCGCTAATAGACCGACCCATTTATCTGATCTTTGTGCGGGGACTCCTGCCGCTACACTGACTAAACAATTGAACTAGACTTGAATAACAGACCTCAACTGTCAACTCTCCTTTCTGAAGTGGTTTCATATATAAAGAGAGAGAAAATTCTCCTATGTTTTTTGCTACTTAACTAGTACTGAGTTAGTATATGAGAAATCGAACTACTTTTCTGCTTGGACCACACCGGATCCATCTTATTCTTTTGATTCTTCTGAAGAAGAAGGGGTCTATCGAATCAATCTATTAGGGGTCGGGGTGCCGAGATGAAGCAGTTATCCTTTCCTTTCTAAAGAGAATATATAATGAGTAAGGGTTTCTTAAGTGTGTGTATAGTTTCATAGTGGAAATGACATTCAAAAAGCTCACTGCCGCGTAACATTATATACAAGTGAACCAATATACCACTTAGGGCTTCAAAGCCAGTACTACTAAATTCAATAAGGACATAGGACCGTGTTAGAAGCAAGCTATTTAAAGCACTTGCATGCAAGACAAAGGCGTGGGCACTCTTACTCCACTCCTAAACTATAGCTAGAAGCTACCTCGCATCAAAGGCAGTTAACACATGGATTCTACTATTCCGGGTACAGCTCCCCTTACTCTATACTTTAGCACTCAACTACACTTTCTTCACCGACAACACCTTTCTTTGCAACTTAGTCTTCTGCTTCTGAACCTTATCCAGAGTATCTTATCTCAGTACCAAGACCTAAACTCAATAGCTATGTTTTCAATTCTCAAATAACTAGCTAGCTCACGAACACAGGACTTGGTAATAAAGGAGACAAGCCTCCAACTAAGCACTAAGTAGTAGCTTGGCAGTTTCAAGAGGAGAGGTCGGATAGCCACCAAGCAACTACTCATGACCAAGCCACTACTAACGTGGCGCGGAGGAGCCTGAGCTAAAACGGTAGCGAGCTAAACGGCAGTGGTTTGGTTCTGTAACTCACTTGTTTCAGTCTATCACTTAGCAGCTCCGCTCTTTGGCTACCCGGTTGAAGTCTTTGGGAATGTAGCTGTAGCCTTGGACTTACTGCTTTGATTCTTGGACTTACTTGTTTGATTCTTTCCAGCAATAGCTCTGTCCTTGTATGCCCTAAGCCTCATTAGCAGTGTTATGAAAACACATAAGTAACATAGAAGAGTAAATATAAGTAAACAGAATACCAAAAGTCGTACTAAAAGCACCAATAGTCAAAATCCAACTCGATGTACGGAATGAAAGCAAGAGGACAAAGGTGGAGATAAAGTCAAGCAAGAGTTGTTTCCGGGGCAGTGAAGCAGCCCAGGTTGGTTGGATAAGGATTGTTAGCGCTAGCTGGATCCTAATAGCGAGGGTAGGCTCATAATGTTATATGTCAATGGTAAGAAGGATGTCCCGGTTAAAGAATCCGAATCAGTAGCTAAACACTAGAAGGCGGGAGTTACCAGCTAAGAGTACGGATAGGCAAGGCAGGCCCTACTAGCTAATAAGCAAGGATACAAGAAAAGAGTGTCAGTTTGAAAGTAGGGAAGGGCTTAAGTAAGCTGCTGTCGGGTCAGGTGCTCAAACATGAGATTAGAGGTCGGGTCGGGTATTGCAAAAACAATCAATGAGAAATATGAAAAAAAAGCAGAAAACAACTCGAAGGCTGCCGCTTGGAACTCGCTACCGCGTAACATTAGTCCAAGAGCTCCTGCCGCGGCACCCGAACAAAGGAATTGTTATAACTACGTCATAACATACTTCTTATTGCTGCCGCGTAACGTTAGTAGTTACTTGCCCAGTGCCTTGGCGGTCATTAGAAGTTGCTTGGCCCTTTTCAGTACAGACAAAGTAGAGGAAAGCCTACTTAATTATATATTCTCTCATATAGGATTTAGTTTCGAAAGAGATAAGTGCACCAAGGAACTGCTAATGTGTAGCGGTAGCGAGCTAAAAACGGGAATTAGTGGAATACTGAGTTTCATCCTAAGTTCAGTCCTATCCTATCCTATCCCGTTGCAAGGTAAGAATGGAACCAAGTCATAGTTGTACCCAGAGGTCTTAATGAAGCAAGTAAGTACGACTAAGGTAGTAGCGCGGTAGAGCCTGAGTTCACAGAGACTATTCGAGGAAGTCGGAAGTCAGAGACAACCTCAGAAGTGGGAATTACTGAATGAGTTGACAGAGCAGAGCCAGTAGAAAGTGGTAGTCCTGTGGAATCCGTATTTGTAGAAAGAGCACCTGGTGGGTAAGGTATCATCTGTCACCAAGTCCTGTGTTCGGGTCCTGTTGCAATGGTCCTGTTGCATCTGTCTTTGTAGCCATAGGAGAGGAAGTGTTTGTTGACAGAGCAGAGGTCGGTTCGGGGAAGAAAGATAAGAGCTATTGTTTAGGTCGGTTCGGGGAAGAAAGATAAGAGCTATTGTTTAGGTCGGGTCGGGCTGCTTCTTCTCTTGTAACTGCCGCTTCTGCTCTTGGGTGAGATAAGCCATAGTTGATGAGATTAGCCGGAGTTCACAGAGGAAGTAGAGAAGCCCTTATAGTATGTTTCGGGTGCTCAAACTCAAGAAAGAAGTAGGGTCGGGGAAGAAAGGGAAAGGAGAGTTAACATCCGTTCAAGCTTGAGTGGAGGTCGGCTTGGTAAGCTATTCATGAGTAGTTGATAGTTTCTATAGGACAGAGGCATAGGGTGGTGAAGCGAGTAGTTAAATAAAAGAAATGGGAAGAAATAGAACCGTAGTGCTAGTCTAGGAAAGTTGCTAGGGTAGTGGTCTAGTTCTGGTTCTTGACCAAGTCCTGTGTTCGGCATCAAGGAAAAGAATCAAGCCAGTAACTCCAAGACTCAAACCAGCGAGTGAAAGCCTGAAACAAGTGAGACAGAGGCCAAGCAACGGCAGGATCAGTATCAATATAAGTAGTAGCGCGGCAGGCTGCTAGTTTGAACGGTATCGAGCTAATAAAGCTTAAGGCTGCTCCTGTTATGAGGTACCCGGAGTGATGAGCAAGTCCACTGTTCTGTTGCGCTAAAGGGAAGGGAGTTCCATTGATGAGTTGTTGACTTCGGATCAACTGCTCCAGCTCCAGAAACCAGTGTTGTAGCCCTTATATCATAGTAAACAAGGAGAGTGATTGTGTCTGGTTCAACAAGGAGAGTTGGGGCAATCAGATAGTATAGTAGCAATAGTGGAAGTGAGTTCAAAAGTGATTCTATCAGATAGTAGCAAGAGGGGAGGGATAGTAGCAAGAGGATGGTTCTAGTAGCAAGAGGCGAGGTCGTGGAAGCAAGAGAAGCACAGGAAGTTAACTGTTGCTATCAGGGTTCTTTTGAACAAGCGGCCCTGCTGCGACACGGGTTTACTGACGCGTCACGCAGATACAATTAGAACAAGAAACCAATTCTCCACTTTGGATTTGTTATTACTTATTATGTGGATTAGGCCTTGTCTAGTAGTGTCTTGTCTAGTAGTTACTTGTCTGTCGGCTTATTTCTTTGACTATATACTTTTGTCTGTCGGCTTATTTCTTTGACTATATACTTAGAGTAGTTGGCTTACCACTATATACTTAGAGGAGAAGACAATGAAGACAGGCGACGAAGAAAGCACTTGGTCATATAGAGGAGAAGACAATGAAGACAGGCGACGAAGAAAGCACTTGGGCATACTCGACTTTCCACTTAATGCTCCGGTCCGGTACTTGATTCTTCCTCGACGTTGGCTTACCAGAGATCAGTATCAGAGGCAAAAGAGATAGATTGAATTCGAAACTAATACAGAAGGGAGAGGTCGGAGCAAAGGGGAGGGAATTCAACGCTTCCACTCGAACAGGCCTTTCTTCTCTCGAAGTAGTATCTTGTATAGATCTAGCTTGGTAATTCAGGTAATTCAAGAAGAAGAGGTGAAGATATGATAGTTTAGGCCAGCAAGATGTTAGGAATAAATGAACTCAGTAGTAATCGGCAGACAATAAGAATGGAATGGAATGAGTTTACTTAGGTAGAGGATAGAGGGGAAGTTGCAAGTGACCTATACTATTGGCTACGAAAAAACCCGTGTTTCGTCAAATAATCCATCTTTTGGATCGGTCTATTAAGAGAAATCAGATTGCAACCAAAAAACACGGGAAAACGTGAAATGATCATCTCTTTTGATCGGCCCAGGAGGGAAAATCTATTCGCTATGAAAATAGACGGGAAAACACAAGCATCTTTGACTCTGTCGCTACACATTAGTAGTTACTTGCCTGGTAAAAAGTATTTGCTTGTCGACTTGGCTCGCATCTAGTATACGCTTGGCCAGTTACTGTTCTTGTTGAATACCGTTAGTTGTAGTCTACCACTGATTCCCAGAAGTAAGGAGTAAGGAGTCAGCCCGAAGTAAGTAGTTAGTAGTAAGCCCGAAGTCAGTAGTAAGCATCTAGGTCTCAGAAAGCACTTGTTGAAGACCTTGTTGCGAGGGATAGGTCGACTTCCGTAGATACTATTTCCGTTCTTGTCTCGGTTCGGGGTTAACACTTATTAGAGAAGAGGTCGGGCTTTCCCCTTGAAATTGAGTTAGTGGATGTAGGGTCCTGCTAGCCACCCCTTTTAGTTTCATTGAAGAGGATAGGTCGGGTAAGGGTCAGAAAGGGAAGCTGCTATGGAGGTCGGGTGCTTGTGTTAAGCAATGATACAATCTATCTCTTTTGTAGGCTTGTCCCCTTATCTCTTTTGTAGGCTTGTCCCCTACTAAAATCTATCTTTTCTTTATATATGTGAACGGATAGGATGAAACTAGGGAACACCGGAGTCAGAATGTAACTAAGCAGTATCGGAATGGAGCCAGTGAGTTACAGAATTGATCTTAGTAGTGACAGAACGAAAGCAAGGGCAGCTTTCAGGTAAGTAGCGACAGCCTTTCTTTTTGTGTCAATGTGTCCCGTGTTCAATTGTGTCTATTGGTCCTGGGGTTCGAGACCAGTATACTTTATCATATATCGTGTAGAGCAAGCAGAGATCCGAATCCGCAGTTAAGGCATTAAAGAACAGTAAGAATCAAGGTCAGTAGCTAAGGGCTGAAAGTAAGCCAGTTAGGTTATACCTGTGTGTTAACAGTGTGGGAATGCAGCTAACGAGCAGTAGACTTAAGCTAATAAGCAAGGCCAGTTTACAGGGTAGTCAGCATTTTGGTTAATAGGGACAGGCTCAGAAGCAGTGGTTCGAGAATGAAGTGCGAGAGAGGCATACTATTAGGCAGGAAAGTCAGACCTATAGGCAGTAAAGCCAGATTTGGGTGTCAAATAGTTGGTTTGAAGCTAGCGAGTAAGGTTTTGTTAGCCGTCATGAAATTCTTGCAGTTGGTGTTGGGTTGCCTTTTTGATTAGGTTTGAGGAAGCGCCCATAGGGGGTTGTAGCTAGGTCAATCCTTGTTCTCAGTAGCCATCGTTCGCTGCCCTACTTTTGAGTTAAGGTAGTAGAGGCCTTGGTTGCGCTCTTGTTGGTACGGGTTCCTAACCTTGTTAGCATTGATTTCGTTCTTAGAAGACAGCGGTTACAGCCCAGTTAGCGCTTGTTTCAATCTCGTTAGCTACTGTTCGAGCCTTGCTGGCGTTAGTTCAAGTATTTCCATTAGCGGTGACATCTTTGCCCATCAGTAATTCTATTGCCAGTGTGAGAGTTACATTCCGATATTACTAGTACACTTCCTAGTTTCCTACTTTGACTTGGTTTTCCTATTTCTTGATTCTTCGTTTTAGTCTGGTGATTCCCCTATATGGGTCCGATCCTTACAGGTCTTATACCGGTACCCAAGTGGGAGACCACAGAGTTAGATACCACAGAGTTCCATTAGAGCACTAGCACTACTAGGTAATAGCCGGTAAGGTAAGAATAAAGGGCAGTAAAGTAAGATTCGTTTTTCGTAATGTTAGACAGGCAGGCAGGCTCTATAAGTAGAACTGAAGAACGAAAGAGTCAATTAGAAGGCTCTAACTCTAGGGTGGGTAGGTAGGCGCGGAGCCCTGTTCCGAGTTTAATTACTAGCTGAGAGGTGAGTTCCCTGTTTGGAGCTATATCCTTTCCGTCATAGTATTAGGTCTTGTTAGCGCGGGTTCTACTCTTTGTATTGGTACTTGCCTCTGACTTCTTTGTTTGATTATGACTTGCGAGTTGTATACCTATAATTAGTGGTTACTTGGCTATTAGGGCAGTGTTTTATTCCCTAATATGAGTTAAAGTAAGAGGAGCACAGGTTTCACCCTCTCCATAGTCTCTATAGGGTGTTTCATTCCCTCTATTGGTGGGTAAATCCTTTCTCTTATATTAGTCGTTTGATCCACTGGCGGAGGTAGTGCATCTGATCGTAGTAGTTGGATTGCCAGCCTCATACCAAAGCCTTGTAAGCACTCGCTCAAGCCTTGTTATCACTGGGCCGATTCCATATCATAAGAAACTGTACTGAATCCTGTAGTTGTAGAAAGAAAGTAAGCCCGGGTAGGCTAGGAGTTAAGGCAGGGAGTCTACGCGATAGGTGAAATGCATATGAAGTGTTTTGTGTGCAAGGTGCCAGGCCGTTATACGTGTCTTGGCGCTTGGCCCGCTACACTCTTTTAGTGTTGTTGATGAAATCCCTGGTCGATGTCCGATTGTCCACGAAGACCTAGCTGTGTTACTTTCCTAATTCCGTTTGATGCCCGCGCGTTGACTGCTGCGCGAACCTACCCTGCGTTATTGAAGAATTCGTTTTCCTACTACATTTAGCCCCGAGACCAAGACCACTCCTGCAACTTTGTTCAATTAGTCTTCATGGCGTCAGGAGCCCAGTTGCACGGGTTTATGAAACCTTTCGAAATCCAACTATTATTATATGATAATTCAAGGGTGGGTTCAAGGGAGGATATATAAGTATTCCCCCCATCCCTCGAACCAGTTAGTAGATCCCTTATTCTTAGTAGTAGTAGTAGTAGCAAGAGAAGAGAACAGATAGAGGTATCGGATAAGAATGAATGTATAGTAGCCGAATGAGGCAAGTCAGGATTCCACTCTGTAGTAACAGACCGAAAGGAAGAATGAAACCAGGTAGCCAAAGAGCGGAACTAGTGGGTATAAGCTAAAAGCTAGGGGGCAGCTAGTTGGTATCAGAATGGAACTAAGCAGTATCAGGATGAAACCGGGGAGTGACAGAGTAGAGCTAGTATTGCCAATTCTTCCCTTGCCCACTGATTCCCCGCATTTGACACCACTAGTAAAGAATCCAGCGGGGTAGACTCAGAATCAAACTAGTGAAACGAAGCCTTAAAGCCAGTAGCTACATTCCCACCGATTGCCTGATGCTATAGTTGTGTCATGGAACTGCTTGTTCAACTCAGAGCAATCAAGCTAGGTTCAACTCAGAGCAATAAAGCTAGGTTTCAACTCAGAGCAATCACTTTTGTGGGAAGCAGTTCAGTAGGAAGGAGAGGCCAGGCCGGTTACTAACCAACTAAGAGATGAGATGGAAAGGTCAACTAAGGGATGAGATGGAAAGGTCAACTAAGGGATGAGATGGAAAAGCCGCTTCTGATCTTGGGTGTGAGATTCGATGAGAGCCAGAGGAGATAGAGGCAGGGGGAGCTACGTTACTTGGCTCTTAGTTGAGTTGAGAGCCCACTCCTCTTCCTGTTCTTGTTAGAGTGGAAAGGAAAGTTTAGGGTAGCTGGGTAGCTGGGTGTTTGTTTTTAGGGTGGCTGGGTAGCTGGGTGTTAGAGATGAAAAAGCTGCTCCTGCTCTTGTTAGATTGGAATTCTTTATTTGTTTAGGTCGGTTCGGGTGCTAGTGTTATATCAACCGGGCTTTCCCCTTGTATACGAGTTAGGGTCGGGTAGTTCCAGAGAGTACTGGCTTTGAGGCGAGGAAGTCTTAGTTGCCCGAGGAGAGGATTAGTTGCCGGCGAGATGATAGCCAAAGGAGAGGATTCAGTGCTTTTGTTAAGCAAAGAAGAAATCTAGAACCTCAGGAGCCGGGTGCTCGAAGGTAGGGTTACAGAATTCCACTCGGTAGTCATGGAACCAGTAAGACTGAGAATGAAACCAGGTAGTCCTGGCAGTAGGAATTCAAGAATGGAACGGCGTTAGTAAACACAGGCTGAAGCCAGTAAGTAGAAGGCGAGGAAGCTGGAAGGGGAGTTTAGAGTTGTAAGTACATTAATGAGAATGCAACCACTAATAACCAGGCTTAACTCTACCTACTTCAGAATTCAACCCATAGGTCACAGAATTTACCTAGTGAGTAACAGCCTTAAGACCGTTCGGAGTGAGTGAGTGAGAATGCCACCACTAAATCCAAGAAAGGAACTAGCTAATATCAGAATGAAACCAGGGAGTAAGGGAATGGAGCTGCCTAAGATTAAGATCGGACTGAAACAAGTAACAACCGCCAAGCAACTACGGAAAGTAGAAAAGAACAATAGGTAGATGAGCCATCAAAGTATTTGTTTACAGAGGGGAGGGATAGTGGACTTACTTGTTAGGGTCGGGGTTAACACTAGAGGTCGGGTCGACTTGGTAAGCTATGAAAGTCTAGTTCTTGCCCCTTTAAGTAGTGGTGGAGTGGTTAGTTTACTTATGGAATGTCCCCTTCCTTATTTGTTTCCTCAGCAGCAAGCGAGAAGTCAATGCCTGTTTTGTTTTATAGAAGTTGTACTTTAAGCCGAGAAGAAGGGCAAGTACAGTTAGCCAGCTTCCGAAGCCATAACTTCAATAGTTGACAGCAGGGTTCAATGATGAGTGACTCGTTTGCGAGCCGGAGCACTAGGTAAGCAAACTTATTTAAGTCAGAAAACCAGTAGTCTCCACTCAATGTATAAGCTTGGCCCCCGTATCAGCCTTATTGTTACTTAATACTAGTAAAGTGCTTTTATGAGTAGCTTTATTATACTGGCGCTACCCCGCATTCCATACTTTGGTTCGATATCTCGTAGCAGGGGAGCTCTCTAGTAACACAGTTTCCGGCTAAGAAGTAATAAATAGTTTGACTCCAGTAGTTGGTTGCAGAAGAGTTAGCGTGGAGACAAGTCTGAATTCAAGGTATAGTCAATGGAATAGGTATGGAAAGGCGGACCAATAGGACAGATAGTTAGGTCGAAAGCAGAGATATGGTTTTCAACCGAGGAAGGGTAGGCTAATAGGCAAGATATATAGACTAGGATACAGCAACGCAAGTAGGGAGAACAAAATCATAATACTAACAGAGGTTAATACGGGAATGGAAACCAGATCAGGGGGAATCGGACAAGTGAGTCAAAGAATGACTAGCAAAGGGAGAAGTCTGCGTGTGTGTTGGATTGTCTTAGCCCTATTCTGACTATGCATCTCAACGCTTACGCCTGCCACTCTTAAGACTAAATCAGACCTTGCCCTATCAGAGGTTAGTCTACCCGGCCTTTCCTTAAGCCTGCCATTCTACTAGCAAGGTCGGCAAGTCATAATTCAAGACATAAGCAAGGGTGCTAACATCAGTACCAATATAAGGTGTGTATCATAATCAAAGCTAAGTCAAAGAATCAATATAGTGATAGGGAGTGCAATACCATGGGCATATAAGGGAATCATAATAAGGAATTGTGTCATCAAACTCCAACTAGGGCGTGCTACCATCACTTGAACAAGCAAAAGGGAAACTAACAACTCACTTGGATTCTTTAAACACTACAGCCCCCCGAGAGAGCAAACTAACAACAGGGAGTCCAAGACATAACTACTGATCTCAAGATTGAAACTAGTAAGAAGAGAATGGGACTACAACCAATAAGAACCTAGCTCGGAACAGCCAAGTCACTACAAAACCAATAGATGAAACTGCAGGGTCAGAACAATCTTTTCCATATTATATTCTCTTATATTAGCATTTGTTTCTATGCTTTTATCTCATTTGTTTCTATGCTTTTATATTAACGTGTATCATCATGTGTTTTACTAGACTCTATTTGCTATTACTACTGGACTTGAACACTACCATTGGTTCCAATGAGTAATCATAGCATAGTCATTTAATATAACAATTCATAGTTGATTCCAAAGCAAAGTCAACAGTAATAGAATCGTTGGTGAAATCCCGAGAAGCAGTAGGTCAAGTCACGGAATAATCAATTGAAGAGTGAAATGGGCAAGTCAGAAAAAGAGTGTAGCGGTATGGCCTGATATAGTTGTTGATATGACAAATCAGAATCAAGTTAGAGTCAATGACTTCACTGTGTTACTCAGAATTCCACAAGGCCAAGCAACGGACGAAACAGGCTTGAACCACTGCTAGTAAGAATCAAACTGGTGCAGCGCCTTGGTCATTAGTAGTTGCTTGGTGCCTGAAACAAGTGAGACAGAGAATGAGACCGGGTAGCTAAGGTCTATAACAAGGGAGCTAAGGTCTATAACAAGGGAGCTAAGGTCTATAACAAGGGAGCTAAGGTCTAAAACGATTCCTACTGAGAATGGAGCTACTAAAGGAAAGACTGATACTCTTCAAAGAGGTGTGGGCAAGGTCAGTATTAGAATTGAACTACTAAGTGGAAGAATAGGGTAGCTCCTACTCATTCAATTATTGAGTATATGCTTGTCGACTTGTCTCCTTGTCTAGTATACACTTGGCTCTTTCGAGTTGAATTCTTTGCCAGTAGTTAAGAGTAGCTAGTGGAAGACCGAGTAGCCAGAGAAGAGAGATTGGCAATCCCTTGTAGAATCAGTGGGTGTTGTCAGAGGAGCGGGGTCTGTCTCATGCTGGGCTTGTTTAAAGAAGTGACTAGGGGTCGGGGCAGAGTTGGAGGCTAAGTTGACGTTTCAAAATGATTTGTTGTCAGTTGCCAGAAGAGAGTGAGAAGAACAAGAATCGAGGTAGACGTTAACACTGGAGGTCGGGTCGTCAAGAAGAGAATAAAGTATCGGCTTTGATGCGAGGGTAGTTGTTTCATTCGATTACACGGGTAGGGTAGGCTTGTTTGATTCCAATTGACTAGCTAACCTTTAGTAACACATCATACATGTCTTGGCGGCTCGGGTAGGTTTACTGACTTAGTTTACTTACTTGTTTCATGAAGTTACTAGGCTCATAGAGAAATACATTATTTGCTGTTATGCCCAAGTCCTGTATTCGGAGAGTGCTTTTCAAGATCGGGCATATATATATAAGGAATGAATTAGAGATAGGGTATAAGGAATGAATTAGAGATAGGGTATCCATAGGGAATGTAGAGGCCCTTATTGTAAGTTGTGCCGAGAGTTGGCAGTTATCCTCCGAGTTCCATCTGTCTTTGTTGGATCATCAAGGGAAGTTTAGTGTGAAAGTCTGGTTGAGGATTTCGGGTGTTGGTACCGAGAAACATAAGCAATATCCGGTCTTTGTCTTTGTAGTAATGACTTGGCGAGTGGAATCCTATATCCTACTAACTAAGAGAAGAGGTCGGGTCGGGTAGTTCACTCACTTTGTTTACTTACTTGGCGGGTAGGCTTAAGTTCATGTGTTAAGCGTAGTCAAAGAGTTAATATAGTTATCGCTATTCTGTATCTAGGGCAACCCCTTATTGTAATTCGTAAAAGAATGAATTCAACTCACTGATAAGTAAGAGACTTACCGAAATGAATTAAGGGCACAGCACTTGGTCTAACTACTAAGCTTGGTCTGTAGTAGTTGCTTGGCCCCGCTTCTGAGAAAACGGATATTCCCGCTTCTGAAGCACTAACTGACTTATATAAGAGAACAGATGAAACAAGGGATGAAACTCTCACTGCAGACAGCTTTCCTGGCAATAAGAGTCGACTAACTAGGCTATAAAGAGCACTAGCACCCTCACTTGCATAACCACTTGCGGCTTCCGATCTTGTAGACAACTTTCGAACTGCGGATTCATTCTCTGGTCGACTTGAAGACGAAAACTGCTGTACTTGCACTTGCGCCACCACCGTACTTGATAACAGCATAAGATACAGATCCTGCTCCCACTCCTGATTCATATAAAGATCCTGGGTTAAGGGCTTACTAAGAGCAGACATACTCTCGATGTATTTCTTACTTTCTATGTGTTTGTGGATAAGAATGAAGTTCATTGTTGCCAGAGTGAGATTAGCTAGTTGCCAGAGTTAGATGAGATGATAGCCAGAGCAGAGAGAGGCCAGAGAACCAGTTAGAGCAGAGCCAGTAGTTGTTAGAGAGAAAAGATGCTATGTGCTAGTTAAGAGAAAAGATGCTATGTGCTAGTTAAGAGAGAAAAGAAGCTATGTGTAAGTATTAGTTGACTCCGGAGAGGCGAGGAAGCAAGCTTGAGTGGAAGTAGGCAAATAGTAAAGGTTCAGCTGCAGTGCCAGGAATATAGTATTGTTACCAGAGAGGAGCCTTTTTCAGGTATCAAAGAAATGGAGTTATATGAGCCAGAGAAGAGCCAGCTGCTTGTTTCAATAAGTTAATAGGAGCCTAGCCGGGAGTTTTTGTTTAAAGTATTGTTTCGGTTGCCAGTACTTTTCTTGTTTAGTGTTGTAGTGGAGAATTGCCTGCTCCTGTTCAAGTAGAGGTCTGGTCCTTTTGAATCAGTAGTTGTTGCCATAGTTATCGGAGCAAGAGAAGAGGAGAGGAGATATTCCCCACCCCAGTAAGAGATACGTTTACTCTAGGCAAACAGTAAGTAGATACGTTCACAGTAGGTTAGGAGAATAAGAATAGTAGTAATAGTCCAGATGCAAACTTCAAGTGGTCCCCAAGAAGGAAGTGAGCTTTAGGGAGGAGGTTCTAATTCGGTACCTTACTAATTAATGCCAACTTACAGAACAAACTTATTTGATTTACTACTTCATTTTTGTATTCTTTTACTTACCGTAGACAACTTATCCTTACTTTTGAGTGGAAGCCTTCTAGTCATTATTACTAGTTTCGAGTTGGTTCTGTCCTAGCCCCAGCGTAGTGAAAGGCAGTAGCTTCCGTTTTAGAGCGAGTAGTTTCTTTCCTAGTTCGAGTTGGTAGTTGAGGACCAAGAGAAAGGATAGTAAGCCTGAGATAGAGGAGTGTCGAGTAGAGAAGTCAGATCAGTAGCTTAAGCCTAAAAGCTTGGAGTGGTGGTTTTAAGCTCACCCCCACCGAGATAGGATCAAAGATTGCAAGTAAGAGTCGAGGTCGGGAGTTTGAGTTTGGGAGCAGGGAGTGTCATAATGCAAGAGGATAGGGAGAATTCTACTTGTTGGTCTAAGTGAGTGGTGGGCTTATAGGGAATGCCGGGTGTAAGTAAGAGGCTAGATCCTTATATAAGCAATAAGAATGGGGAGTGAGTCCTAGACTCAGAGTATCGAGTAGAAGAGTAAAAGACTAACATACAGTTGATTGTTAGAAATCAGAATTGAGTCGCTGCTACAAAGGATGAAAAGGGTAAGCCAAAGAGTAGGTACCGGCTTGGATCGGAGGGGACAAGTAACGACTAGGCTAGGCACTATGACTCTTATCTTATAGAACAAAACTACCACTGATGAGAATGAAGAACCCCCCACATAGATCAAACTGGAAGTCAAGAATACAGGTACGAGAGCGCACCATAAGGGATAGAACCAAACTACTTGCAAACAGGCTTCAACCGGGAATTGGTAAAAAGTAGATTTCTGCTCTTATTGAATTCCTTAACTAGGGGTAGTGGTTTCATGAAGTTACTGGGCGCGGGTAGGCTGGAAGTTACTTGTTATGAAGTCTTTTACTAGGCCAGCATCTAGTACATCAGGTATTAATTGCCAAAAGTCTGTTACTAAGCTCGGGAAGCTATGAAAGTGGAGTTTGAGGTTAAGTAGAAAGTGTAGTTGAGAGTAGATAGTGGAATTCTAGAGTCAAAGGCTAAGGCTTAACCGAGTGGTGAGTTGCAAGAGCAAGAGAGGGATATACAGAGGTGTAGTAGATTAGTTTCATCTGTATTAGTAGCAATAGGAGAGGAAGTATTTGTTTACAGAGGAGCCAAGCCAGAGTGATAGGATAAGAATGAAATTAAGGTATTGTTGACAGAGGCGAGGTCAATTACTGGCTTTGAAGCTATAAGTACTTCAGTAAAGGATCGGATCGGTAGGTAAGAAAGGTAGAGAATAGAGTGGAATCCCTAGGTTCAATACGAGTTCTCGTTTTTAAGTAAAAGGTAAGGTGTGGTCCAGGAAAGGTTTAGTTCAGGGGAAGTCTCCAAGATCAGAGTTGACAGAGGCTCGGGAAGCTGTTAGAGCAGATACATGAGTTAGTTCGGGTCGGTAAGAAGAGAAGAAAGTATCGGCTTTGAGGCTAGGGTAGTCAAAAGAGAGTACTTACTTATTAGGGTAGGTTGGCGAGTTTCATCCCTAGTTTAGTCTTCAGTGGAAAAAGTGGAATTCTGTATTGAAACTAAGTCTTGTTCCGAAGTCCCGTACCCGCTCCCCTAGTATCTAATTCAAATACCTGATTGGAAGTACCTGAATGGAAGACCTTTCCCTG